AGCAAAGGTCTCCTTAGAAAGCATTTTCATTAACACATTGCTGTGAAATCTTCACTTCTAGTGCCAAAAAGTCAATACATCTGACACTACATTTTGAGAACACAAATATTTGCTATGAGTCGGTGTTTATGAGTGACAGATCAAACTTACACTCAAACTCCACTACATAATCATTGCTTTCTTCTTCCCAAGAAGAGGTAGATCAGAGATCACGTTCTTCCACCCTGCTCATGAAAAAGGGTACAACATCATAAAAACAATTTGCTTCTTCAAAGCTCAAGCAATCCAGCAATTAGAGAGGATGAGGATGGTATTAAGTTATGCTGCCTAACTGTTAGAAAAAATTAAAGCAACAAAGCTGCTTAAAGAGATAACCATAAGGTAGAGAGACAGGATGATTATTCCCTATCTTCAAACTCAATGTCAGAAATAAGTTCTGAAACACTATCAACATAATTTTAAAACTAAAGACTTTGTTTAAAACAAACAAATTTGGAAGTGTTTTTTTGCATAGCACACTTCCTACTGCATAAAACTTAAGAGATTACTTACCTTTCCCTGAACTTTGCCTTAGTTACAGAGTTTCCCCAGCTAAGCTTCCAACTACACTGCAAAACAGAATTATTGGCCAGATACTTGGGCTTGACCAAACTGACAGCAGAAATCAAAAGTCAAAAGCAAGCTTTTAATTCTTATGATCCTTGGCCCAATCAGAGATTGAATAAATCCTCAAACTTAATTTTCAGCAAACTAAGAACTGATGCAAGTTGTATTGGCTGGATTAGTTCTCCACAGCAGTTCTCCTGAGTAGAGATCATCACAGCACTGAATTTCACCATCCTTACCTCTCTCTCACTCAAAAGTTTTCTATGCCATGGGCAGGCTGAGAAGAGATGGCACAAAGCCAGCAATGCCAGCCTTGTGTCACATCACATTGCTTTGAGATTTCCAATCCTACCTAATCCATAAGGGCAGCTTTTTATCTCCATGCACTAACTAAGCACCACCAAAGAATCATACCTTATCTTTAGAATAATTTTAATGGAAATTATACTCTACACCATGGAAACTGCTCCTATAATGCAAGTCTGTGAGCAGAAAAAGAACAGAAGAAAAAAGACAACTCAAGATTGAAAATTAAAGTGTTAGATTAGATTAACAGCTCTTTTTTCCTATTATGCAAGAGTGTTATAGACAGTACACAAACTGAGTTGAGGTTGTAGAAAGGATCAAGGTGGTAGGCAGTAGTTAGCATTGCAGTTTTGGGTATGGGCTCTATACACATGGGAAACCACAGAAGACAATATTGAAGGCCCTTATTAATTATGTCCCTGAAACCCTGAGTTAATAAATAAATTTGGTCTTCAAGGGTTGTTACAGATGTCAACATCTTTAAAGCTGGCAAATGTTCTCTCTTCTAACAAGGACAATTCCATTGCTTAAAACACCACTAAGCTAGAAATTCTATGCATCTAGGTAGCTCTCCACACACACACATTTATTTCATACAACAGTTTTAGAAGTTATTTCTGTTACTGATTATAATACCCAGCTGTGGACTGCAAAATTCTATAGCATGTACTAAGGTAGAAAATAAATAGCTAACTAAGCAAAAATGGGCCTTTATTGACAATATTCTTAATTTTGCTTAACCAAGTTTTCCTCCATGTTTTTATTTAAAAAAAAAAAAAAGAAAGAAATAAAACACACACACACACGCACATCCACTCACAAACCCCAAAAAGCACAGAGGCTTGGTTCGATGAAGACAGTATAAAGCTTTCTTTTCCTGAAGAATCTTGCAAGGAAGATTTTACAAGTTGGGAAATCTTTGGCAGTTCTGACATTTTTTACTCCAGCTGAATAATCACAGTAAAATTCTGACTAATACTGAGAACCAGGAAAACGATGCTTCTATGGTAAGCATGAATTTGTACATGCTATTAAAGAAGAAAGTGACTTAACAGATCAAAAGATTAAATTTACCATCTTTCTTTGTACCCCCTCCAACTATCAACTCACCCCTCCTGCCAGCAGACAGTACAATCTGAATGCCACTGAAATGTATGCTTTGAATAGGCTAATAGTCTGCTACCATTCTGGATACTGGTTTGAAGTGATCCAGCTCCTGCCTGGAAAATTAATCTACACTGTCTCCTGCCACAAGTGGCGGAAAAAAATTGCTAAGCAATGAGATAGCTACAGCGTGCAGCATCGGTCAGTCCTGATTACTGCAACAGTTCTCGAAAATTCCTGATTTTCAAAACTGTGCAAAAATTTTCATATCCTCTTTTTAATTCAAACACCATGTTCAAATACCAAACCAAATATTACCAAATGAACTGCATAATGAACTGGTTTAATTTGCTTCTGAAATGCTGATATTAAAAACACTGGCAGACAACAGAAATGCAAAATATTCTTACTTGAGAAACTGCAAATTATAGCCAAATAAATAACAAGGTACAATGAGCTGTATACATGAAATTTTCTATTTATAAAGCTACTGGGTCTGCAGAAACAGGATCAGAAGCCTCTAATATGAAGATACTTTGAGGATAAAAACAAAGTGAAGATTAATTTCCTCTCCCTCTTCACAGTGATCTAGCATATTTGCCTTCCGCATTCCAGAGCTCAGCATAGCTTTGGGGCTGTACGAATAATTTCTTTTTTTTTAAGTTCTCTTAGCAGGCATTCTTAATTCCTTACTTGTTATCTAAAGTCAGGTAACAGCAAGGATAATGAAGCTCCACCCTTTGACCATGAAAGGAAGAAAGAGACATTCACTTACCTGGGAAAATAGAAAGGACAGCCAACTGGAATTAAATGCAACCAATCAGGCCTAATTAAGGCAGATGAGACCAAACTGGAGTATGCTCTTTAAGCACCAAGTTTAGATGAACAGCTATTCAAGAACTAAATGATGCCTACTCCTGTGAGGTTTGTCAACTAGCATTTTACCTAATACGCTTCAATATGCTGTGGATTAAGAAATGGACTGCTCTAAGGCGTAAGAGCCGTAAATTTTTAATTCTGTTTAAGCAAATGACTATTAAAGCACACTGATAGAGGAGACAAAAACGCTTTAATCACTTAAAATCTATTGCAAATGTATGCTTTATTTTTACTTAGTTATGCCAACATGTCACAGTGAAAGTTAAAAGCTGTACAAGGTAAGACGGTCCTTCCTTAAAAGTTTACATTTCAAATAGACAAGATGGAGAAAGTATGAGATAAAGACAGACAATCCCTGCTTGATAACATGAAAATGAAGCACCACTCCAAGATCATGGAGAAAGAAATTCATTTAACTAAAAACTGTAACCAGATTTCTTGAATAACAGAAGTGCTATCCTTTCTTTGTGACAGCTGTTCTGTTACATTTCAGATTTATTAGCCATATTAGGAGACAAGAGTTCCTGGAAAACTGACGTAAAGATGGGATATATAAGGGAAAACACTCTAAATTCTTGCAGTATCATACCAAGGCAGCAATTCTATGAGAACAGAGCTCAAAGCAAAGAACTCAAAGCATATATTGACTATTGGCCCTCTACCAATATTGTATGTGTTACTGAGCCAGATCTACTTACTGTTTGAGATTCAAATGAACAGGTAAGATAAGTAAAGCTCAGAAAAGAGTAATTTATCCCTGGAGACATCTAGAGCTTCTTTAACAAAAACATAAGCAAGCATACAAGATCATCTTCTGTAACAGTCTGAGGATCCAAAATGCACTGCAATAATGTTTGGCTTGATCTTCTAGCTATAAGATTAAGCCCTGTGGTATAGTTTTTATATTCACTGCAGAAGAGTTTTTCAGCATGCATGACACACTGCGCCCCATTTCAGCACAATGTGTATTCTGCACTGAAGTAGTCTAGGTATAATTCAAAGAAATGGAACCAAAAACCCGCTTTTAAAAAAAATTAGTGCTGCTACAATTTTATTATAATAATTTTCACCAATAACTCATATTTTCTGCTCCCTTCGTTCACTGAAATGACCTTAAAATGAAAACCAAGGCATACTATAAAATGTTCTTTTCTCCAATGGTCAGAGTATTCAACCTAACAGACACAAGAAGTTAGCATCACATGACACAACTACTTTTCCCTCTCAAGTTATTGCCGATAATTGCACTGCCCTAAACAGCAAGGGGTGCAGAACATTATTTCATGTGAAGTGATTATTAATTGTCATATCACTTTAAAATATCATTTGTTTCCTAATGGTAACTGAAAAATTGGTATTTTTTTCATAGCTTCTTAAAATATAATCAAGAACGACCACCTTTCTCCTACTTGAATGTCTATAATCAACTCTAAGAGCTTTTGCCAAGCTCTTTTTCATTTGGTTTGCTATCTGATAGATACACTTCAACATTTTGCACATCTAGAGGCATAATCATTTGACCACACCAAAAAGCCCACAGTAAAAAGGTTTTTATAATCATAGTCATATTCAAAGAGACGAAACAAACCAATGTCAATACTCATGTTGCTTTATTTACAGTTCATCTCCAGAGCCCTTTCAAACCAACACATCGCTTTCTTGCAGGATTATAATATCATGTATTAGGCAGCAGCTGATAACATATGGAGCGATATGCAAAAGCAAACTTTTGCTTAACACAAATGCCAAAATGAATAAAGAAAAAAATGATGGGGAAGCTAGTGGAAAAAGCTGTAAAGCAAGACAATTTTTTAATTAAAAAAAAATGTGTGCTAGAGAATGTTAATGAGCCGAAAGTCCCCTGAGATCACTTTTACACATTCTGCACTATTTTGATGACCCTGCTAAAGAAAACTGAACTCTTCTCACTTAGACCTGGTTGAAGACATGTTCTTTTTACAATGTCATAGCAAAACTTAAGATCTGAAAGTATCTTATTCATTGGGTTACTTTACTCACTTGCTTCTAGCCATCCAGAGTTATCAAACTAGAAGCAGAGAAGACAAAACCATTAGAATTCAGAAAGTAAAAAATTTCAACAATACCTTTAACTTCTTCATAAATGCTATCATCTATTGGTTCACTGCTCACTTGTCCAACATCATCATACTCCTCTTCCTCCTCCTCAGGAATGGTATTAGATTCCATATCTATATAACAGCAGTTTAAAAAGTTAATATTTACTAGTAAACAATACCTAAGCAGAAATTTATGCAAAATGAAAACACAATTCTTCTAGGACCTGGTGTTTACAGTATATTCTGCTTATGTTCTTATAACGTTCATAAGGGAGAGCTTTGAAGCTAAATAGTATTCCTGGAGAAAAGCTGAAACCTTGCAAAAGGAGAAAAGTCATATAAAAGCTACAATATGATTGAGAACTAGGTCTTGCTACTCAAAAATTGGACAAGTGGGAATACTACATATACAAACGTGACAGATACGTTAATGGACAGAACTACCATAACTAAACAGTATTGGCAATAAAGGCTACTGCTCTTCTGGCTGGCTTACCTTGAATTACAAATTTGACTTGCTGTACCCATTCCTCTGCTTCTTTGGGAGTGGCAGCTGTAAACTATTAAACATTTATTAATAACTACTAGCAGTAATGACAAAAACACGACTACAATTTCATTAGCAATAAAAAATAGGGACTGTAGCATTCTCACTTCCTCAAGAAACGATTAGTAATTCTTTTCATGTCTTCTGGTACTTTTCTTGCAAGGATGCTTCTTATAATGTACAGCTAATTTTGACAAATTTACGTAATTGAAGGAGAGGATGATGGATTTGAAACTCTGATCAGCAGCTGGCAGCTGTGCAGAAAAAAGCTGCTTCTCTTCATCAATGTCAAAGCCAGAACTGATGAACAAAATTTGCCCTTGACAATTAGAAGACACCCATGAATTTCTTTAGACTGCTGGGTACAGTTTTCTTAAAAATGTTCTTGTCAGACTCCAACACACTACCTGACAGCTTAATTAACTGGCTTTCAACTGCAATCTCAGATATTTAAAACTTATTAAACTTACATTCAATATTGATGTCTAGCTGATAGATCTCTGAATTGCACAGCTGATATGTTCCTTTACGTAGATTTTCTTTGCAAAGCCATGACCAACACAATATGTATTTAACACTGATATATATTCTAACTTTTTTATTGCTATTTAATTCACCCAAGAAATCATGCAGACATACTATACAATAGATATTAAAATGCTAACATTGAAATGACCAATAGATAAAGATGATAGATTTCCTTGCTCTTGTCCAAAAAGATAATATTTGAACATACACATACATATTTTAAATCAGATTTTTTTGCCTAATACATGAATATACAATATAAGCAAGCGGTGGTTTCCTTTTTCCATTAAGATGTCAGTGAAAGTTGTTTTACTGAAATGTTAATTCAGTAACTGGAATTATAACGGCTTTATCAATTTAATTCCAAGTCAACATAAAAAAGTCCAACCTGATAAATGCGCTTATCAGGAGCAGAGATTTCAAAACAGCAATCTTTCTTTGCATCTTTCCGAAGGCTATTATTCATTCTGATGGTGTAGCCCTCTAAGGCAAATTCACCTTTCTGTTGTTTGTCTGTTGAAGATAAAAAACAAAGTTAGAGCTTTATTTACAACAGTGAATGTAAGTGGCTCAGCAGGTTATCGCTTATTCAGATTTTGTTTTCTATTTCATGAATTTTACAAAGAACAGGGAGGATTTTAGCGAAATGATTAAGTGATGCTTCTGGAGATAAAGCTTTATTTTAAGGGAAGATACACACAAAAGAACAATTTTCTGTAGGACGTCTAAGGAATTCCATAGGGGGAAGTTTGCAGATGGTGGTCTTATTCAGTAAGAAGTGCATGTTATGACACTTGTATCTAGGGAGAGCCAAGAACTGGAACTTGCAAGACACGTTTCCTATAAATCAGTGTCTCTTTCAGGTTCAGTAAACCAATGGGAAAACCTGTCTAGCTCAGAACTTGCTGAGCTCCCTCCTAAACTAACCACTTCGCTCAAAAATAGACTTCAAACTCCTTTTTAAGCAATTGGAAAAGCTTCTTTTCACATTCTCGCATCCGCTCCCAGATGGGCCTCCTTTCCACATGGCAGAAATACAGAATGAATTTTGTTACAAATTCAGGTGTGTGTTCCAAAAGCATTTCTCTCAACACAGCAAATGTTTAATTAGCTAATAAAAGTACTGAGCCCTACCACAGTTTATGATGTAGAGCCATGTGGTTGTTTCAAAGACAATTCTACTTTTCAAAGGTTCTGGTTTATAAAAGTATCACTTAGAACAGGCCTGAGTTTAAATATACTGCATGATGGGCAAGCAGCACCCGTGAGCTCCTTCTGAGCTCTTCAGACCAAACCCTACATCTGATTTTATGTGCTCTGGCATGTTTAGGTGAATATTAAAAGCAAACTGAAAAAGTACAAGTAATTCAGTTTTGCAATTTCTGTAGATCACAGTGCAGCATTCAAGTAAAGATAAGCATCATCATCACATTTTGCTCAGGCAAATAAAGAACAAAGTGCAGTTGCAAATGAGAGAAAATGCCAATAAGTGTGGGGTTTTTTCCAAAGTAGAGAAAAGCATTCAATAATAATAAACATCAGGCACAACAGCAAAACTACTTTAAGTATTGCTGAACAGAGTTTAGGTGAAAACTGAGCATCCGTTGCTATGTTTGTCAACAAAAGGAGAAAAATTCTACTGTAGATAAAACAGCAAAAACTACAGTTTTCAATGTAATTTTGTCATCTTTCTGGAAATTTAGTAGGAAAGCAAGTCTTTTTTCCACTCCTGAGGGCAAAGATTGGCTAACACAACAACATGAACATCAATGAATGTAAGTGCAGTCACCATACAAATACTCTTGCTAGTAATCTTACATGCACATAGACACAAATTCTTTGTCTTTCCACCTTTTTAAGAACTCTCACTCAGGGTAAATAAATACCAAATAACACAATTATATGAGAAAATTCAGGGCACTGTTCTATTTCATCTTCTAGTCCCTTCTCTGAGAGTAAGTTTTATTATGCCTTAATTACTAATGATTCAGTACTAACATTATATATTTGCTCCATCCTCCACCCATGTATCAAGCAGCACACAGATGCAAAAATCGCAGAATCACACCAAGGCAGATACTAGAAATAATAACTTGCAATAGGTTAACTTGACCCTCTTTTAATGAAATTAATTTCTGCCTAGAAATTTTATTGTTCCCTCACTAGTGACCTCAGGGAGAAGATGAAGTGAAACACATTAATTTCTCACTCTCCCATTCTGGAGGTTTATCAAAATCCAAGACGATAGGAGCACGCAGACAGAATAAACACACATCAGGTTCAAAAGGTAAAAACATTTTGTCAAGATAAAAATGAGGCAAGTATTCAAATTTAGTCTCTTGGATTATTTCTGAGACTGCTTCTCTGTGCCACGGATGATCCCTTTTATGGTAATACAGTCTTACAGAGCTAATCTCAGATCATCTCTGTACTGGTACTCATTCTTTCAAAAAGCATTACAGTTAAAACACAAAGATGCTGTATTTTGCACTGAAAGGGGAACACAGTGCATGGTGTCCATATTGCACTTCATTGTTTTATTTTTTATACTATCTTTGTCTTATCTCTCTGAACACACCATTCCAGCATTAATGAAAATTACCTGTGTGCACCATCAAAAAAAATATTCTTTGCTATTAAATTCTTTCACTAACCTTTATAGCAACAGACTACTGCTACTTTTGTTTCTAATTGTCTGTGCACTGAAGTATGTCTGATTAAAGTCCAGTGTAGCATTACACATATGCTGAAGGTATTGATCATGAGGAAATTTTAGGACTGTGAGACACTTCAGATCAGGACTGTAAGCCCTGATCCAGAACCCATTAAAGTCAAAAGACTCTCAGTATGCATTCACACTCCCTGTGGCGGCAAGCCAGAGATAAGACCTAGTATGTCCTGAGAAATGGCTCCACAAATACAGAGTGGCAGGACACAGGTCAGCTACAGCTCAGCCGCATGCTCTGATGGTGACAAGCAATGGAGGTCTACAAATCCCAGCTGTTTTTGCAGAATACACCTTTACAGGCAGGACTGGAGAGCAATCCCATCACCTGATCACCATGGAGCAAACCATGACCCACAGTAGCTGTTTGGCCAGGCACAGTAGCCAGGTGCACGCTTGAAGGCAGGGCCATCTTGTGATCATCAGACTCAGCGATCATCTCGACTACATCTATTGGTAAAGTCTCATAGCTAAATAGGTGTGTAGACAGAATTGGGCTTCAGTTTAAAGATGCTGTGTGAAGCTAGTCTCACAGTGACTTTTGGAAACTTTCACATTCAGAGTTATGTTGTTTATATCAGAAATATTTTCTGGAGACTGTGCTTTAGGGAGAGTTAAACAGTTTAAAACTTTGAAGACTTAAAGATTTTACTTGGAGACTTAAAATTAGACATAGACATTTTTTATGGCAGAGCCTTAAAAGTAACTTCAGGAAGTGCATTTACATTACAGAGATTTCACTTTCATTTTGAATCCCCAAATCAGAACCACAGTTTTCCCTAGGCAGGAATACGACAGCATATTTAGGAGGAACTAGGGAGAAACATGCGGATGGAACACACTTCTCTGAAGAACAATGACATTCTTGCTGCCTCTTATTTTCTCAAGACAGGGCTTTGCAATTGTCCCAGAACAACACAGAACAGAATTGCAAAAAGTTTAATACTACCAGTCTTGTAAAATCTAAAAGGATCATGAACATCATGAACATAAGTTGTTCCACAATTAAGTCAAATCTCACTTCTGAATAAGCTGTTCTTTGCTTTCATCTCCTCCAACTCTTCTTCCCATATCAGGCACATATCAGAAAAATAAATCTGGGTCTGTGTAGATCATTTTGCAGCAG